AATGGTGGCCGAGCGTCTGCGTTTTCTGATTAAGGCTGACGGGTCCGATTCATCTGAGGATCCCCAGTCCTCTGGACCCTTCTCGACAGCGGTGACCTTGGTAGATTTCGAAACTGCCAATAAAAGAAGACAGATTAGCTTACAATATACAGAATCAAAAAGTATAAGAAAGCTGTAAAATCTCACCAAAAGGTGATGGAGTCAAAAATCTTGACTCGGTCGATATGTACAAGCCAGGGAGGCAAAAGAGCCTCAGGGAGGTTAAGGTAAGGGAAGTAAAACAATTTCGATACAGAAATGTCTTTGTTTTTGGGTTTTGGACGAAGTGTTTCTTTTAGGGTTCTCAATTCTCGAACCCATTTGGGATGAGTTAAAGGTTTTGCGAGTCCAAAAGGTGTTGTAGGAAAAGTGGGAAGGCGATCGGGACAATACATTTCAAAAGGGGTTTTTCCTAAGGGATTAATTATTTTGTGGTTCGATCTATTGGTATCTGTTTTTTGAGATAAGGAAATGACAGTGTCATAAAAGGTCGATTCTAGTTTTAGTGGAGTATAACATATTTGATAAAAATTCTCGAATCGAGATATTTGGAGACAGTGGAAGTGTGTACCTTTCTTCCCTTTCGATTTGTTCTGCAACACAAGAGAAGGACGAGCAGTCAGTTTCTGTCGAACCTCGTCAAAAACAGCACGATTACTCGAAAACCAATTGGTCCACCATTGAGAAAATTCCACAGTCGATAAGTAATTCGATTCAAATACATATGGGTAAAGATGCATCGAGGTTCTTGGCAAAAATTTGGCAAGCTCTCGGCCGATGTTCGATTCAGTTAATTTGGATTTGGGGAAGGTATTTAAAGGGAAAAAAGGTAAAGACTGGCTCAGGCCAAACTGTCTTGAAAAAAGTTGAGGGTAGTAAGTAGTAAACTTGAAATCCTTGGGGTGAAAGCCCGATACTAGTATATCCTGGGTTAAGTAGTTACTCCATATATTGACCAATTCTAATTGTAACCCAGGAGTTGAAGCAGGAAACTTTGATTTAAACCAAATAGGCCCCCTAAGTTGGCCATTTGTTCGTCCAAAATTTACAGTAAAAGGGGCCAAGGTTGAATCGAAATCGAATCTAGTTAGCAAAAAGTGAAGGTATTTACAATAGGTAGTTTCGTCAGACTTATGGCGAGGATGGCGAGAGGATAATCGGGCCCCTTCTATATTTACACTCGGGGGAACAGTAGAAAATCGAGGAAGGACGCTCTCAAAAATTGAAGTTAACCATAACTGTATAAACCAAACGGGGCCAGAAAAATTCTCCGATGCTTTCGGAGTACTCAAAATTTCGACAGCCTCGTCGAAAGCAGTATATACATGCGCTAACAAAAATTTGGCCAAACATAGGATAGGTTGACCTAAGTGAAGGAGATACGCAAGGTTGAATAGATGGGGGGAAATTTGGATCGATCGGGGGCAAAATACATGGGTGCACAACCAATACACCAAAAATGCTACATGTTCTTCATCAGTAACAGCTATCGAAGGGTCATCAACAAAATGTTTTTCAATAAAATGCCCGTAGGCCTTCGATTCCCAATCAATTTTGGACTTCAGCGAATTATCCGATGGATATGCACCCTGAAAGTATCTCTCCCCTATAGGTTTTAACCCAGTGATGGCTGCGACATCGAAAAGAGTAGGTGAGAGAGGGCCGCAAGGTAATTCCAACGCATGTATTTCCTTATTCCACAAATGCACGGCAGCCAAAAACATAGTCATGTCCAAGTAGGACAAGTCACATTGAGACAAGTGTAAAAAATCGAAAATCCCCACGTTCCTCCAATGGTTCCCGAATTGAGCCTTGACCCTATCAAACCATCTAGTGAACAAAGGTTTTTTGGAGGGAGGGCCTGTCCGATACACCTTAGAAACAAGGTTCAGAAAATCGATCCTAACTTCAGGCTGATGTACAAGAGCAGGGCTGTTTGAGAGGGTGAGGGGAGAAACAGTTCCACTACCAGAAAGAATGGGGCCCCCAAAAGCAAAACCAACCCCCTCAACAGTATAAGGAACTAATACCTGCGTTTCAGCAATCTTTTTGGAAGCTTCCTCCATCAGAGGAACTGGAGCGAACCTCTGGTTGTTCATCTCCAGCAGGTTAGAGGGTAGTGAAGAAAGGGGTGGAGCGGAAAAGTCAGAAGATTTTGATGAGCTGGCCATTGAAGTGAGCTTAGAAAAACAGAAAGGGAAGAGTTAACGGATGAGGTAACAGGGACGAAGGCAGGAGCTCAAGGGAGAAGATGAGATTGCAAAGAAGGTGATAGTTCGCGTAAAGACCAGAGTAAAGACCAAGGAAAGGTTAAAGGGAAATCGTCTAGGGAGTTGGAAGCGACGGAAGGGAAAGGTAATTAATGTAACTTGTACTGAAAGGCAACAGACTGACGAGACGGCGACGTAAAGTGGAAAAGAAACCTAAAACCCCTTTTAACCCTAGAACCCCAGAAACCCTAAACCCTAAATCCTGTGGGCTTTCAAACACTAAGGCGGGAATATTGAAAGAATATAAAACAGAAATCATTTATATTCTTCCAAGGGGGCATTTTGTTAGTGGCAAATCGAGAAAAGCGATCGAAATCGAAGGGAAGAAATGTGACTCGATAAGATAAACAAAAATTCATTCGATGTCTAATTAGAAATACGTAGCATATAGCATCGAGAAACACAATCGAGAATCGAATGAATTATAATCAAATGACTGTTGTCGAATAAAAACTAAGTCATATAAAACCAGAGTTAAAAAGGAATCGTAAGCAATTCGAAGTTCTCGAAAAATACAGAATCGAGAGTAAAGAAAGCCAATGTGGACATCGAGACTTTGGCCAAATTGTGAAAGGAAGTAAGTCGAATGCACGTATAAAGAGCAGTTTTGAAATCATGGGAAAAAGTCGGAGATCGTGAGAACGTGGGGAACTATAGAAGATAAACTGTCATACGCACGTAGAACGTGGTAGCAGTCGCGTTAACTGCTCTCGGAAGGCTTGAAGGATGCCCTATAAATAGAGCAAATGAGGAAGGAACAAGGGGGGGCAGAAATTGGCAGAGAACAGAATCAGTAGTGAAAAGTCTACCGGAGAAACGACGAACACCATGAAGCTTCTGGCAATCTGGATTTCCTTGCTCACTGAGTACATTTACCGCTTTCTGTATTTTTCTTGGTAATTTACTTTGATGCAACTTAAATTCAGCAGTTTTATGTTTCTGTATTTTCGATTCCTTGTCATTTCAATTCAATGAAAATTTGAGTTTCTGCATTTAGATTTCCTGTTATTTAACGTTCCGCAAATCTCAATTTCCTGTCATTTACTTTTCTTGCAATCTCGATTCCTTGTCATTTATATTTGCGCTGTTTTCGATTTCTTGTTATTTACGATTAATGCAAATTTGGGGTTTTCGCACTTTATATTTCCTCGCAATCTAACATTCTGATTTTCGATTCGATGGTTTTAATGCTTTCGATACTTTAAGTACAAAATACCAAAAACAACATTTTCGATATCTTGTGATTCTCATACACATTTTCGATTGAAAATCAAATTCCTAGCCTAAGTAAAAAGAACTTACGTGGGAGGATTTCGATTAGGACCATAACACTGTTTACAATCGAAATCGATCGAAATTCCACCAGAAACAGATAGTCACCTTAAAAACTAAAAAAATAGGATAAAAACATTTTATATTATCAATATAGAACCGTTAAATTTGATATACTTGTATTTTTTTTATATTCCTAATCAATTAGAAATTATGATAAATATGATTTTCAAGATAATTATTTATTTATTTAAAAGATTAGGCATCACAATGACAACTGACATCCCAATTAAATGACAATCTATTTTCATTGTTAAGATTGAGAAATCTCTCAACACATTTGTTTATTCCCGTAAGATATGGAAAATAAAGATACGATGGTGTTTATTGAGTTTTATTTATGCATGATGAAGCCACTTCTCTTGCGGTTTCCAAGAGACAATGTTAACGTTTTTTAATGTCTCAACATCAGATTTAAAATTACATTCGATCCATAGATGATTCCAACCATTATCAATAAGGATTTCGACACAAAACATGATATATAGCAATAACTTGGTCTTGTAATGCCCTACTAATACTAGTAAATGTAGAGAACCTCAATAAATTCACCACTACTTCTCATGAATAACCCATCACTAAGTCAGTTCAAGAGAAGCTTTTATTGTACCATCAATGTTACATTTGAAATAACCAAAAATCATATGATTTTTAAGATATGTTTGACAGGTACGAAGGAGTTAAAAAATATGATATGAATTTGAACACTTATTTACTTGTGCTTTTGTTGATAGAAATTATGTTGTTACCAAAATAAAGATTAATAGAATATCAACACTAAATAAGTAAGCAGAGGAAGAAAACCTAATAATATTAAGAAGGTCATTCCAGAACAAAATCTCTCACTAAAAATTTGTATTATTCTTATAATATGAAATTTTAATAGGTCTTTTGGTCAAAATGTAACAATATTTTCTATATGAAGTAGTGAAATAATATTGTATTGTTTCATCTTTTTTGGTATACAAATGTTAAAAAAAAAAAAACACAAGTAAAGTTGCTTAAAATAAACAACCTGAGGTCTTGCCCATAGGATTATGGTAGGTGGGACTTTATATTGCCTATTTATTTCATCACTCATCTGATTGGTATAACACACTAACACGAATTATGTGGCACCACATAATGCAATAACCTTACTCAGAGGTATCAAGCAGAAAGAAGAAAAAAAAGTAATAATAACACATCGTTTTTTCCTTCTCACAAACCCTCCAATAATTCAAATTCAAACCACGTGCAATCGTAAATCGCAAGAAACCCATCCCAAAGGCCAAAACCATCTTACAATAATTAATAGCAGTAATAAATAAATAAATATATATATTTTTTGTGGTATTTATTTACAAGAGCATAAAAATGTTACAACAATCTCCCGGAGGGAAACCGGAGAGAGTCACGGGAACTGAGAACCCGACCCGAAAAACGATCGGACTCACTGACCCTTAACTTTCGGGTCTCTCTCTGCAACTTAGCCTCTTCTCTGTAAACCTGAATCTCAGCCACGCCCTTCACCACTCTCACCATATCCCACAATTTCAATTCTCTTGCCCCATCCATCATGGCCAAGATCTTTTCTTCGCACTGTTCCAACCTCTTCAAACAGCAAACCAACTCAACCGCTTCCCCAAACTTAAACCCCCCGAACCTTTCCTTAAACTCGCTCACCATCACCCGCACCTCAACTTGCACCACCTCGCAATCCTCACGCGCCACCCTCACAATGTCCTCCACCAAGGGGTTCCCGTTGGGCTCGGGCCTCTTGCAAAGCCCTTCGATTAGAGCCACCAGAGAGTCAAACTCGGCCAACAAATCGGCGTTCCCGAGACCCGACGCTCTTTCCTCTCTGCTCTCTTTGTCGGTGGAGTTTCCGAGGAAGAATCCGAGGATGCGGGAGGCGCAGAGGAGCTGTTCGATGTGCTGCGCGAACCACCGGACCCACGAGGAGAGCTGCCAGGTGGTGGGGTCGGTGGTGTGTCGGAAGTGGGAGAGGTTGAGATAGTTTCTGCCGCCAAAGGAGGGGTAGACGGAGAGCTGGTCCTGGAGGATGAAGCTGCCGTGGCGGATGATGTGGTGGACCGCGATCAGGCACTTCAGGGCCACGGCGGCGTTGTTCGTGCCCTGCAGGCGATCCATCAGGACCTCCACCGCAGCCGAGGCGGTGGCTCGTGGCCCGTCGCCCGAGGAGAGGAGCGTGGCCAGGTGCTTGCTTGTGGGGGGCGCGGAACAGTCGTGGCTGGTTGCGCGTAGCAAAGAGAGCATGGTGCGTTTGGAGAGTAGCGCCGCCTTACCCTGCGATGCTTTGTCCTTGATTATCCCCATTATCTTAAGCACCAATAGTGGCACCAGTAATTATAATAAACACGGTAATTATGAGTCGAGGGTTTAAAAGTTTAAATTGATTCTGATTAAATTTAATAAAATAATATTTTTATAATATAATAAATTTATTAGTAAGAATATTTTTTATAAAAAATAAATAATAAAAATTACTGTCATACTTATAAAAAATTACAATAAAAATAAAAAATTAAAAATATATTAAAAAATAAAAAATAAAAAATAATAATAAAATTTATAAATATACAATATATTAAAAAATAAAAGATAAATAATTATTAAAACAAAATAAAAATATATTAAAATAATTATTATATAACATTGAAGAAATTAATATAAGATACAAAAATTAAATATATTATATTTTTATAAAAAAATTAATTATAAATATTTTTTTATTAAAATTGGTTTAATCCAGTTTGTTTTATCAATTTTGTTTTAATTCTTTTTATTTTATCTTAATTTAATTAAAATCCAATTATCTAAAAATAACGTACCCATTTTTAATAGTCCAATTTTTAAATCAATGACAAACACTTTATCTATAACACTAAAATTTATTAAAATCGTGAAAATTGGTTGTCTCATTTTATAATTACTGAATTTCACTCCTTAATCATGATTTTTCAGTTATTAATAATTTTATACCAATAACAAAGAAAGTGATTTATGGTGAGAGTTTTGAAGTATTTTGAAAGACTAATTTCCCATATTGTTTTATTTAAATTATTTCTATGTTTAAATACTTTTAAGCAATCAAGTATAACAGACACAAGTTTGCACGGATCAGCAGAATGGTATTGAGCCAATAAAAAAGTCTTCCAATTCCAAATTCTTAATTTATTACTTATTTTTTAAAATTTATTTTTATTAATAAGATTATGAAATATCTCTCTCTATATATTTATTGTATTGAAAAAAGTTATTTTGATGAAAATAATAGACATAGACTACAAATTTAGTTAGAGATACCTTTTTGGTTGTTATGAAATTAATTATTTTAATTTTGTTAAGTTTATATACGTATGAAATCAATTTATTTATATTTTTTTGGATAAAATTTAAAATATCACGCAACTTTAGACTTTTTTTTCTTATTTGCAATAATTACAAATTTCAAGAATGAATTAAAAACATCATAATAATCATTAAACAAATTTAAGTTTTAGTGAGTATTACTTGCAACATGAAAGAAAAAAGGGTTTGTTATTTTCATAAGATTTTCTTAATTTTAGTTATAATTGTTCACATTTTACAATAAATTTTTAAAATTTAATTTCATTGTAAAATATATTTATATCAATAATATAATAAAATAAAATGTTTAAATTTCTTTGGTTATTAAATTTTAATAAAAATTATAATTAAAAACATTCGATAAATAAAAAAAATTATATATAATATTAAAATAAAACTTAAATATAAATTTGATAAGAGGTCTTAAAATTTGTAGACACCATCATAAAAAAATGAGACGAAGAGATGACTCATGTATTAAGTAAATAATTTACTTAAATTTAAAATTTTTATTTATAATAATGAGTTTAAAGAATATTTGATTTATATTTAATTAAATATTAATTTTAATCTTGGATTAAGATTAAATAAATTGAGTGTTGTTGAAGTGACTTGTGAGTAGCATATTATTAGAATGAGAAAATTTTATTTGGTGTTTTGTTTTGACATGATGTGGAGCATATAAAAAAGCTTATACCGTTATGGATTGTACTTGTGTGAAAGTGGTGGATTGTACTTGGTTTTTAAATTCAGTAACTCATGGATTCACTTCTAAACATGTGTTTGGGATTGATTGTCTTTAAAGTTAAAGATTGGTTTTAAGGATTAATAGTTTCAACAATAATATTGTCAGAATTCAATTACGTCTAAAAATGCTTTTCCCTCATTATTTAACTTATCAATTACATTTAATAAATATTTTTTTAATGAACTTCAATACAGCGTTGAGTTTGTGTTTTATTTATTATATAATATTAAATAAATTCATATTATATAAAAAGATTGCTTTAATAGCTTAAATATACCTGTGTGTGTTTGACAATTTAAGGACTTACTTTGATCTTAAAAACATTAATTTAAACAATTAATAAAAAAATATTAATTTGATTTAATAGGTCAATTGAGAAGACTTGTTTCAACTTAAAAAGACATACTTACTGAAATATAAGTATGCCAAACTTATTTTTCACTCACTTTTTCAACTTATTCCTGCCATTTTAATTTATGGTAAAAGGAAGAAAAAACTCAATTTTTTTTCTTTTTTTTCTTTCCATGTATTTGAAATTAGAAAGTGCATAAATAAGTAAATTGAGTGAATAAATACCAGAACATCTTCTCTAAAATTGTTTATAAGATTTTTTTTTTAAATAAAATATATTATTTTAACATAAATTTATAATAAGAATGACTTAAAATAGATAAAGTTATTTATAATTCGGATTAATTTTAAGCAATTCTGAACAGACTACGTTTAAATGATGCATTTTATTTTAAGAATTCTAATGAATTTTATAAACAACTCACTGGAAATATTGTCACAGGGATAGAAGGAGAATGAGTTAAAAGTAATTATACTACATTTAACTAATTTGAATAAAGTTAATACTTTTATCTTTTATTCTGTTTAGTTTTCTGTAAGTTTTTATGTTGTCTAAATCTTTTATATCTCTTTTTAGTTTGAATTTATTTTTTATTTTTCAAATAATTTTAGCAATACTTAAAATAGTTTGAAATAAGAATTGCACAATTTTCAGCTATTTGAAAACTATCATATAGCTGATAAGAAACCAAAATGAAAGAGATAAAGGCTAAACTCTGAAAAGCAAATTGAAAGACTAAGTCAAAATCCACCAACTTTACCTTTTATAGAGTTATATATGTAAATTGAAAGAGAGAAGAGTTGGAAAAGATAACCAAATTGAAGGCATGCTAGCTAGCAACAGATTCTAGCTCTGCTCTGGTTGACCAGAATGATTAAGAACAGCTCAAAAAGCTAAGCCAAGTGCTGCAAACAGGAAATTAAATAAACAAAAGGTCACCTGGACCTAAAAAAGAAAACACTAAGTTCCTGATCCATGTCCCCTTCAGGATCAATCAAGTGGAATGATTCACAGTTTTCTGAGCCACGAACCCTCTGAAACCTCCCTCTAAGGTACATAAGGTGACCATCTTCTTTGTTAATCATTTCCTTGCACTTCATCACCCCGGTTCCCACCACAACGGAACGCATCATCCTCAACGCTTCAAAATCACTTTTGGAGGGTCTACGCTTAACGGCATACCCCACTTTCCTCCCATTACAGTGCATAGTCCACAGAGGAGTGGACAAAAGCGTGTTTGTGTTGTTATTATTATCGTCACTGTCACCATTGCCACACTCCAGAGCGATTCTGAGAGTTCCTCCTCTCATTTCCTTGGCCAAGATGGTTGTTGGAACTGCCAACTCTAGGAGGAGAATAGGGTTGGAGTTGGCGTTTGCCTGAATGCAGAAGCTCACCTTTCTTCTGCGGTATCCGAAGATGGTGCCAGTGATGGTGGTGGAGCTCATCACGAGTGATGGTGAATAGTATCTGGTGGGGTATCGGTGGCACTCGTTTGATGTTACATCTTGGTCTTCTATAATGGTGGCACAGTTGCATGTGGGTATTAGGAGTTGCATGAGAGAACGTAGCACCCTCCATGATCTAACTTGTTTCTCGCATTCAACTGTAGTGACGCCATTGGCCATGTATATCTAACTTCTTCCTATTGTTTCACTCTACTCTTCATGAGCCTGGTTTATATAATGCATTGATGATGTAATACTGATTAACATACACTGAAATATGTTGTCTTTATTGTTTTTTTATATTTAACTATTGACCTCATGCACACTTGTTGAAAAGAATCCAGAAATTCAGGGATGAGGGTGACATGTGTCGATTAGTGTGGAGTTAGCCAATGAGGTTCAACATATTTGGGGTGCCAACTAAAAGGTTTATCTAATGCAACCCCGTTGCTTGGTTCTGAAACAACTCATGCACACGCTTTCAGTGGATAATTCTTTCTTTGCCCCCACCTTTTCTCATTCCCTTGTTTATTCTCTGAGACTTCCTTTTGTTCGTGGACAAAAACACCTGTGTCACGCTGGAGCAGCTATATCTGAAAATAATAGTTACTGTAACTAATTGGATGTTTTCTTCTTCTTCTTCCTCTTTATGTTTTTTTGTGATTGGGTAACTTGGGTTGAAAAATGCAGAAACTTTGGGACAGCGATTTCCGTACAGTCATAACCCATCAACTCACTATCATTCAATCATTATTATGCCACTAGATTTTGGACCATAAAACTCCAAATTCATACACATGTTAAGTTCTTATTTTAATTCAGTTTAATATAATGTATTCTCACACTCAAGCATCTTTTTAGGCTTTTTCCCTCAATGATAAGACCTGTCTCACAAAAAATAAAAGAGAAAAAAAAATGTCATTTATTATTGCATACCAACAAAACTAGCACTAAATCTCATTTTCATGTATTATTTTGCATTCTGCATGTGAGATGAACTTTGGGGGCAAAGCGTGTTGTGTGGAGGCTAAAAAAATGTGTATGTTTTTAGCTTTCTAGCCTGGTTCCTCCACTCTTGTCCACCCTTTTCCTTTCTCTTATTTCTCTGCTACTGAGTGTAAACTATTATATTATATTATATATATACACAACTTCCATCTACTAGAAAATACATTCAATCCAAAATACATTAAATTTATATAAAAGCCATAAATTAACATTAAACTTCATTAAAACGCGAAATCAAATTTGTACAATATTTTAAAAATTTGTGAAAGCAGACACGTGAACAACGGGAGATGATTTTGGGCCTTTCAGCACTGAATCGCTCCTTCGGCACTATCAGTTGGGCTCGTATTATGCATTGCTTTCCAACTTTAATTTGATTTACATTAAACTTAACTGAGATTTACTGTTTATTGTTTTAAAGAAAAAACTAAAATTTCTTCTTTATTTTTCTTTTCCCTCTAACTCATGTTTTGATTTCCACGAGGATGATCATTAAAAAGAACCGTTATTTATTGATTTGTGAATTAGGTTTCTTCTTCTAAGATGATAACGACTCCCAAAATTTAAAGGATAATTTAAAAAGAATAATCAATTTGTTAATAAATTTAATTCTATTAATTAAATTATCTAACTTTCTTGATAACTATTGTATTGTTTGAATTAACGAATCTTTCTAATTATATGTATGATTATATTAGTTATAAAAAAACTTCAGTTGGGTTCCACTATATATGTCTCCTTGTGACTTGAACTTTAAAAGTTTTTCAAAAATGTATGAAATGTTTTTTTACGAATCAATAGATAGGATTTTCAAGAAACTTGTTTGACCTAAATAAATTTTCTTCAATCTTTCATTTTATAAAAGAAGGATTTTAATTCAGATTCAATATACAAATACATGGAGAAGAAAAGAAAAGTCAAGAATCTATGTTAGTTCCCTCTAAACTCGAGTTATGTACTATATCAGTGGCTCTTAATATAAAGTTTGTGTTTTATGAGAATCCTCCAAGAAAATAAGGATGAAAACAATTATATATACATGATTTTGAACCCTACAAGTCGATCACAAGCACCACCTTCGTCACTCTAGTTAGAACATCACGTTCATCACCACGGTCAAGAACTTACGTAAGGAACGAAATCAACTATGTAAACTAATGGAAGAAAATTGAAAAAGAAAAGACTCAAAGGTGATCTTCAAGATAATTATTTAACTAATAATGATATTCAAGTTTTTCACCCTGTAGAAGAATCAAGAATTATATTCCACAACTATTTAACATATTCTAAAACTTTTTCAATTTGATTTCACAAAAATCACTTGAAATAACTCATATATAACTCAAAAGATTAATTCATTAGCACTAGAAAAAGGGCATTTTACTGGATTAATTTGAATTTTAATAAATTAAAGTTACTTAAAGAAATGTTATAAAGTTATTTTAATCAATTAAATATGAGACCATTTAGATGTTAAAGTGACTTTAAGTGAATTAATTTAATATATGAAAACGTAATCTTATACATTAAATCAACTCAAAACTCAAAGCCCTTTAGCTTTTGGTTGATAGAAATATCAAAACTTTTAGCTTAAAGCTTTTGAACCAAGAAATTTCTCTTATTTGATGATGATGACAAGCCTTCAGTCTTATTGGACAATATAGTTTGATCTTGAAAAGATGTTGTAATTCGTGAAATCATAAAATATAAAACACCTTTTTCTCCTTTGTCATTATCAAATGTAATGAAGTAGGTAACGAGAAGAAAGAAAATAACCAAAGACTTGTTTCATTGATAGTTATAAGGCAAAAACTTGAACACAAGTCAGCATCGGAGAAAAGATTAGAGCAAATAAAAAAAATTTAACAAAGGTAATAATAACACACCAACAACAAGAAAAAGACAACCCATAAAACCAAGATGAAATCTCGTGATAAGCAAAGGAGAAGATCACACCCAACAAGAAAAGTGGCGTGATGCAACGAGAGGATCACAAGTTTTATAATGAAAATATTGAACTGTGGGTTTTAAATGTGATTTGAGAGTGAAAAGGTGAGTAGACAGAACTCTAGCAATAGTGAGAGTGGTTTGAATCCAGAATATTTTCTAGGAAAGTTGCAGGATTCCTATCTGCATGTGAATGGACAATGTTTTTATTCAATTAAATGTTGAAAAAACCCTGTGGAGAGCAGGAGATGGAAAAAAAAAACTAGATTTTGGCTAGATTATTGGAGGTTTCAATCAGTTAGCTAATAATAGGTTCTTTTGAATTTAGTAACAAAAATGATGCCTTATTTGATATGGAAAAGTGGGACCATGGAGGGTGATTGAAGTGGGAGGAAAGTTCTCCCAATGAGATTTGTTGAGATGAGGAGAGAAAATGGGAAAAACATGTGAATAAAGTGCTGGCTAGAGCATGGAAGCAGAATATGCCACCAAAAATGTGGTAGGTGTTACAAGATAAGCTCCCCTGATAAAAAAAAAAATCATTTTTTGAATAGGGTTAATTTGTTTGATTGATGTGTGCAATGTGTACCATATTAATTCATGGGTCAAGAGAAGCAAACATTAAGGTGACTTACCTAACTGTCCTCCTTGTTCGTTAGTTAGAGGCGGGAAGTAACCAGAAGATTGACAAAAAATGCATGCTCTCTCCACCTTCTGTTCAAATCTCCATCTATCCAACAACAACATGTACATGCACATACTCCTCTCTTTTTCCCAACTCCTCTTCCTTCTCTTCCTCGCCCTTTATTTCGATGCCCTCATGGGAAAAACCAAAATTTCCAATCTCTTCGCTAATGACACCAACAATGACATGCTTCCATACTCCAACACCGTAAGACAAACTCTTGTGAACCGGCCAAGTTCCCTCAAAGATCGCTTTTCCTTTTCACTCTTTGAATTCTTGCGTCGCCTCATTCCTTCAAGTATTCCTTTTGCCATGTTTTTTTCTTCCATTTTCCCTCCCTTTGATTCATACTTCTCTATACCTAGTTACTAGGTAGTTGTTCCTTCTGGTGTTCTGCTTATCTGGGTTGAGTTCAATTGTAGGAAAAGTTGATGGGGGCTCAAAAACCGAGGCAGAGGAGAAAGTCTACTCTTGGTTATACACCTTGGCTCTGTCTGACAAAAACATGGTCTTTGAGTACGTTAGGTCCACTGAAAGAGGCAAGTGTTCCACTCTGCAGTACTTTGTGAATTGTACGATAACACTAAAAAAAATGACTACTTTATTAACTTTTCTTTTGTACGTATAAGATGATTTTAATTAAGTTTGAACTTGTAACTTCGTATAAATTATCCAAACCCTACTAAATTAGTTTGATTACATATAGATCCGTTGTGATCACACTAACCCACCATAATTGCAGTCTCTTGGAGCTTGCTTTAATTTGCAACTTCAAGGGTGATGCTTGATAAACCAATTTGTGAGATTTAGTGTAAATCAAACTCAAATTCTAAGAGAATTAAACATCACCCTCGAGTTTTGTCTCATATAGAAGGTATTTTTTTTATTAATGGCAGGCTTAAGTTTCACAGAAGCAGCGAGGAGACTGCGGGAAAATGGGCCAAATGTTCCACTTGAGTATTCCTTTCCAAGATGGTGGCATCTTCTATGGAACGCTCTTTTCCACCCTTTTAATATTATTCTGATTGTTTTGTCAGTAATGTCATTCATTGCCCGTGACAGTCCAAATGGATTTATCATGCTCGTGTTGGTTTTCATCAGTGTCACCCTCCGTTTCTATCAGGTTTTTCACTTTTTTCTTCATTAGTTGTTGCATTGAGGTTGTGGAATGGGGGTTTCTCTACCTTTCACTCTAATCTCCGATCTTTCTCTGTGTATATTAGGAATACAGCAGCTCGAAAGCAGCAATGAAGCTTTCAGAATTTGTAAAATGTCCAATAAAAGTTCAAAGATGCGCTGGTAGAGTTGTTCAGAAAGAACTTGTTGTTCAAGTTGATCATAGGGATGTAGTTCCAGGTGACATTGTGATTTTTGAACCTGGTGACCTCTTTCCTGGAGATATCAGATTACTATCTTCTAAACAACTTGTTGTGAGGTATGTTCTGTGAATTGGAAAATCTGCTTGTTCAGTAAATGACAGTGGACACTTGTATTCTTCCTTTGGCCATTTTAGGTGACTAAGTAACAAATGGTGTTTTTC